CCTTCAGGTCTTAGCTCCGACTTTCCTCCTCTGACCCTGACGCCCAGCATGTCCCTTCTGATGGGGCCTTTATTCTGCAGAGGGTGGGGAAGGGCTGGTTTTAGGGGTGGGTTCCTGGAATTCTTTTAAAAAATGTATTATCTTTAGAGATAGGGTCTCATTCTATTGCCCAGGCTGGAGTGCAGTGGCACAATCACAGCTCACTGCAGCCTCGACCTCCTGGGCTCAAGTGATCCTCCTGCCTCAGCCTCCCCAGTAGCTGGGACCACAGGCCAGCACCACCACATCTGGCTAATTGTTTAAATGTTTTTGTAGAGACAGGTCTCACTATGTTGCCCAGGCTAATCTCGAACTCCTGGCCTTAAGAGATTCTGCCACCTGGGCCTCCCAATGTGTTGGGATTACTGGCATGAGCCACTGCCCGGCCAAGTCATAGCACTCTGATGGCTGCTTGGACTCTGCTGTGCAAGCGGTAACGATGCCCACCTTGCCTTTGGTGATTAATTTCGGTGACTTGCTCCCTGCCACCCTGAGATCCAATTATCCCCATTGGAGTCAGGTTTTCCGATTCTTGCTCTGTCACCCAGGATGGAGTGCAGTGGTGCAATCTCAGCTCACTGCAACCTCCACCTCCCAGGTTCAAGTCATTCTCCTGCCTCAGCCTCCTGAGTAGCCAGGGATTACAGGCACCTGCCACCACACCCGGCTAATTGTTTGTATTTTTAGTAGAAATGGGGTTTCATCTTGTTGGCCAGGCTGGTCTCGATCTACTGACCTCAGGTGATCTGCCCACCTTGGCCTCCCAAAGTGCAGGGATTACAGGCGAGAGCCACCGTGCCCACCCTAATTTTTGTACTTTTAAAAGAGCCAGGGTTTCACCATGTTGGCCAGGCTGGTCTTGAACTCCTGACCTCAGGTGATCCACCCACTTCGGCCTCCCAAAGTCCCACTGTAAGTTCGGACCTAGGAGGAGAGCGATTGCGACACAATGATGCCATGGACACAGACACGGTTGATAGAGACCAGCTCTTCACACAGTCCCAACCCAAGTGCAGTCTCGTCATCATAGGCAGGAACCTACACAGAGACACACAACCTATACCAAGGCACGTGTGACGGATGATGCCACTCAGCGACACACACACCATGTTCAGCAACGGGACACACGGGCGGTGGCTCCAGCCACACCGACATCCCTCCACCGCTGCCCTCGACCACCACATTCCAAGTCCACAGGCCGAGAGGAAACACAGGGGTCAGACACACAACGACCGCAGCCCCCACGCCCCGCCTGCCTATCCCCTGGGTCCTCACCCCCATGACCCAGGATGCCCCTGGACCAGGGGCCCCTCCTGCTCTGCAATGCCCACCTACCGTACACGCAGGTCCAGCGGCTGCTTCCTCCTGGCAGGAAGTGGGGGAGGTATTTTTAGTTACAATAAACCTCCCACCCAATTTCCCTTCTCCCCAGGCACATCCAATTGGTTTAATTAGACAGGATTAAGTTAATGAGAGGCATTTCCAGGTTCTGGGAAAAGGGGGAGGAGGGGAAGAGAAGAGCTGTCCCCTCCCCCACTTCCCAGTGTCCCAGCCGCTGGGACCTCTCCCCTGCATCACGCAGGAGATACACTAAACAACTGCCTCCCCTCTCAGCCGACCTCAAAGCTTTGGCCTGGCCCTGCCCCTCCCTCATATTCCTTCCCCCACCTGCCTTTAAGGGAGGGTGATTGTTTGAAGTCCTTCCTGCTGTCTACCCATCACCCATCCCACCTGAGTCCGGGGGAGTTTTGGGAAGAGATAAAACTCTCATCACAGTCACAAAAACAGTATCAGGCCGGGTGCAGTGGCTCATGCCTGTAATCCCAGCGTCTTGGGAGGCTGAAGCAGGTGGACAGCTTGAACCCAGGAGTTCAAGACCAGCCTGGGAGACACAGTGAAAAGCCATCTCTACCAACAAATATAAATAATTAGCCAGGCATGGTGGTTTGTGGCCGTAGTCTCAGCTGCTGGGGGGGCTGAGGAAGGAGGATTGCTGGAGTGCTGGAGTTTGAGGCTGCAGTGAGCCGTGGTTACAGAGTGAGACCCTATCTCAAAGACAAACAAAAGCAATTAAAAAATTAAAAATCAGGCCAGGCACAGTGGCTCACATCTGTAATCCCAGCACTTTGGGAGGCCGAGGCAGGCGGATCACTTGAGGTCAGGAGTTCAAGACTAGCCTGGCCAACTTGGTGAAACCCCATCTCTACAAAAGTACAAAAATTAGCTGGGCATGATGGGGGGTGTCTGTAATTACAGCTACTCGGGAGGCTGAGGTGGAAGAATCACTTGAACCTGGGAGACGGAGGTTGCAGTGAGCTGAGATCGCACCATTGCACTCCATCCTGGGCAAGAGAGAGCGAGACTCCATCTCAAAAAAAAAAAGAGGCTGGAAGCACAGTGGTTGGTGCCCAGGGCCTACAGCCAGGCTGCCTGGGTTCAAATGGAGCCCAGCCCCACAATCTCCAGCTGTGTGACCTTGGATGAGCCGCTTCACCTCTCTGGTCCTGCTTCCTCGTCTGGGAAATGGGGACCGTGATGGCACCCACCTCCCGGGGCTGCCATAGGGTTTAACAGATTCTCAGGTATACGGTTCCTAGAACACAGCCCGGGACACGGCCCTCACTGAAGGGCTCCATAAGGTCATAAAAGTGGTAGCCCATTCTCTCATCCTGTGCCTGTTCTGCTTTTTGTGACACTTGTCCCTTTCTTCCTTTTTTGAGACGAGTCTCGCTCTGTCACCCAGGCTGGAGTGCAATGGCATGACCTCAGCTCACTGCAACCTCCGCCTTTCAGGTTCAAAGGATTCTCTTGCCTCAGCCTCCCAAGTAGCTGGGATTACAGGCATGCACCACCACGCCTGGCTAATTTTTATATTTCAGTAGAGATGGGGTTTCACCATATTGCCCAGGCTGGTCTCTGTCCTCAAGTGATCTGCCCGCCTCGGCCTCCCAAAATGCTGGGATCACAGGCGTGAGCCATCACTCCTGGCATATCCTGAGATTTTGTTCATTCACTCTTCTGCTCAGCAGATATTTTCCTTCTTTCTTTTTTATTTGGGACGGAATCTCGCTCTGTCACCCAGGCTAGAGTGCAGTGGCGCGATGTCAGCTCACTGCAATCTCTACCACCTCCCAGCCTGATTCTCCTGCCTCAGCCTCCTGAGTAGGTGGGATTACAGGCAGGCGCCATCCCACCCAGCTAATTTTTTGTATTTTAGTAGAGACGGGGTTTCACCATGTTGGCCAAGCTGGTCTCGAACTCCTGACCTCAGGTGATCTGCCCGCCTTGGCCTCCCAAAGTACTGGGATTCCAGGCATGAGCCAGTGCGCCTGGCTGAGTGTGGCATATCTTCTGTGCATCCTTCATGTGTGTATGTTTCGGAGTGTGCATGTGCATATTTGCATGTGTGTCTGTTCATAGCGACGTGTGTGTCTCTGTGCGAATCTCTCCATCGTGGCCCACCCCAAAGGGGCTCCAGGGGTCCCTCAAAAACCCACACACGTGCCCCTTGGGCCTTGAACACAGAGCAGCAGTGTGCATGGTGGGGGGTGCCCGAGAGACTCGACGGTCCAAGGATGGCTCTAAGGAGAGGGTGGCAAAGGGGGTGCTTGGATGGCAGAGGGGCTGAGGGGCACTTGGGAGAGGGGACTGGAGGGCAGCGAGCCAGGACGAAGCAGCCTGGGTCTGCGGGAGAGAGGTCACCTGGACTCTGAAGGAGAAGCGGGGGGAGGCCCCAAAGATGCGGGTTTCCAGTGGGGAAGGGGACAGAGAGAGATGAGGTCTGAACAAGACAGACAGAAAGAATGGCTGGGCATGGTGGCTCACACCTGTAATCCCGGCACTTTGGGAAGTGGAGGTGGGTGGATCACCTGAGGTCAGGAGTTCAAGACCAGCCAGGCCAACATGGTGAAACCCTATCTCTACTAAAAATACAAAAATTAACTGGGTGTGGTAGCGCATGCCTGTAATCCCAGCTACTCAGGAGGCTGAGGCAGGAGAATCGCTTGAACCCAGGAGGCGGAGGTTGCAGTGAGCTGAGATCCCACCATTGTACTCCAGCCTGGTGTGGGCAAGAAAGTGAGACTCCCTCTCAAAAAAAAAAAAAAGGTACCAGAGGGAGAGAGACAGAGCCAAACAGGGGAGCGACCCACACTCTGCCTTGGTGGTCCCTCTCTCTGGGGGCTGGAGGGGACAGAGGTCTGGAAAGCTGAGAACCCCAAGGGACTCACACTGGTTTCTGAGCCTGTTTTCCTAGTCACAAAGGATAGCCTCTGCCTGTGATGGGCACTGACACACGGGGCACAGTTCCCCATGTGTTCCTCAAAATACCTCCACCATCAGCACAATCATTCTATAACACAGGCACAGCCGCTCTCCCCATTCTCCAGATGTGGAAACGGGTCCAGACAGGTGAAGTCATGTTGCATTCCAGAGGCGAGATTTGAACCCATGTCCATCTGGACGCCTTGGAAGTGAGGCTGTCCATGCCTAACCTGCTCATTTCCCATGGGACAGAGGACGTGATCGGAGAGCCACAGCTGGTAAAGTGACACACGCGTGGCCCTGAGTCTTCATTCTCCCCTGCACGCACATCTCTCGCAGGAATTTTGCAGTTCCCTCTAGTTAAGAGGTGGAGTCTATGCCAGGCCTGGTGGCTCTTGTTTGTAATTCCAGCACTCTGGGAGGCTCCCAAGTAGCTGAAACCGCAGGCGTGCACCACCATGCCCAGGCAATTTGTTTGCTTGTTTTGTACAGATGGGGTCTTGCTATGTTGCCCAGGCTGGTCTTGAACTCCTGGCCTTAAGTGATCCACTCGCCTTGGCCTCCCAAAGGGTTGGGATTACAGGCGTGAGCCATCGCGCTTGCACCCGGCCAATCAGTATCCTTATTTGTGACTTATGAGCTTCAAATTGGTAAGAATTTGAAATCTTGGAATAGACACAAGAACTCCAGTTGGTGGCTCTGTGTTTTTAAGACTTTATCATTAAAAAAAACCAAGAAATTAGAGAAGGGAGGTGGAGGGACAGGAGGGTGAAGGAATCTCTCCAAAATGTCGGATCCGGGCGATCCTCCTTCCCTGACTGCCCAGCCACTCCGTCCCTTCTCTGTCCTGGCGGCGAGGCCCTAGCCGCCATCTTCTGGCAAGGCCCAGGAGCCCAGCTCAGGTCCCAGGCAGAGGTGAAGGCAGAAGTGGGGCTTGGGGCCTGGAGGCCTTGCCGGTGTCCTTGAGAGCCTCTTGGGTGGGCACTCATGTCCCAGCAGGGCCCTAGGGAGGTAGGCGTTGAGCGGAGGGGCCTTTGGAGGTGGGGTCCTGAAGCTGGAGGACCAGGCGGGAACCAGAACCAGGTGTGAGGCCGGGGGTCACAGCCGGAGGCTGGGTCTCTGGAGAGGGGAGGAGAGGCCAAGTCAGGAGCGGGAGGGGGCCTAGCCCCATCCCAGCCCATCTGTGCATCCCTCATCAGCCCCAATGTGAGGGGGACACAGAGTGGCTGGCAGGGAATGGCGCGGGGATGTGCGAGCGCCACAGAGAGAAGAGACGCAGTGATGAGAAAGAGGGAGACAGAGAATCAGAGTGGAGGTGAGGGAGGGAGACCTACAGACAGAGACAGAGAACAAGGAGAGAGACAGGCAGAGTGGGACAGAGAGAGACCTGGAAGGAATCAGAGAGAATGACATGGGAAGAGAGAGAAGGAGGCATACGGAAATAGACAAAACAGAGAGAGAGAGAGAGAGGAGGCCAGGTGCGGTGGCTCACGCTGTAACCCCAGCACCTTGGGAGGCAGAGGCAGGAGGATTGCTTGAGCCCAGGAGTTCGAGACCAGCCTGGGGAACAAAGTGAGACCCCTGTCTCTACAAAAATAAAAATAAAAATAAAAATGATTATTAGCCAGGTATGGTAGTGCACACCTGTCGTCTCAGCTACTTGGGAGGCTGAGGCCAGAGGATCACTTAACCCAGGGAGGTTGAGGCTACAGTAAATCATGCTCAGGAGTGGACAGACAGAAAAGGAGACAGAAAGGAGTGGAGAAAAGAGCCCACTGGACATCCGGGCAGTGGGGTGAGAAGGCCCCTCCATCACTACTGATCCAAAGGCCCTCTGACACTCACCCCAGACCATCCCCATCCACGCTTGGCCATGGCAGAGCTGAGTCTCCCACTGCCCTACTTGGCCTGGATACACCTACCTGTCTCTTTTTCCCAGGCTCGGCCTCCAGCACCCGCCTCCACACATAAGCCCTGTGCAGGCCTCCATTCTCATTCTCAGGGCCTTTCTGCTGGCCCTGAATTCATTAGCCACCTGTCCGGCCACCTGCCTCAACCCAGCCCAAGGAGAACTTCCTCCTTGTGTGCAGGGGGCTAGGACTGTCTCACAGCCACAAGACTTCCAAGCTCTCCTGGCCTTGGCACTGCCTCACTCCTCCCATTCTTCTGGTCTCACCTCCAAAGTCCTCTCCTCCAGGCAGCCTTCCTTGAATCCTCCAGTCTGGGTCAGATGCCCCCTCCTCCAGGAAGCCCTCTCTAGGTCCTGGTTGGACCTCCCCCCATCCCAGGTCCAACGCCCGCTCCCTGTGAGCTCCTCCAGTTCCTGGGCTTCACCATTCCAGCCCTGTCCATTCTGGAGCATCACCATCTGGGGATGGGTCTGTCCCCTTCACTGGACTTTGTGCCCCATAAGGGCAGGGCTGGGGCTGTCATGGTCACTGTTGTGTCCCCAGTATCACCCAGCACAGGGCTGGGCACAGAGTAGCTCAGGGGATGGACGGACAGATGGATACTAAACTAAGGAATTGGGACTTTGTCCAGATGGCACTAGGAAGCCACAAATGGTTTAATCCAGAGAGAGTCAAACTCGGATGTGTGCTTTGGAAACTCCAGGCTGCCTCCCCACCCTGGGCCTTTGCACATGCTGTTCCCCCTGCTTTTGTAAGCAGGGTAAGTAGACCTGTGCAAGTGACTTCTTCTCTCTGAACCTCAGTCTTCTTATCTGTGAAATGAAGACTGTAATAGTCTCTCCCTTTCAGGGTCATGGTAAGGACTAAATGAGAAGATGCTGTAAAGTGCCGCCAGCATACCAGGCCACAGGAGACTCAAGGCCTGGGAGAGTCAAATAATGCCCCCCTTCCACATTACTCCCTACTCTGCGCAGTGGACTCCTATTCATCCTTCAGTGCCCCATCCAGAGGTCACTTCCTCCAGGAAGTCTTCCCTGATACCCCAGAGATAGCTGATGACTCCTTCCTATGCGGAAACTATGTTTTATTGTTTGAACTGTGGCACTGGATTATCACTGGGGTTGCCAACTTCTCCACAAGACCAGAATCTTCTCAAGATCCAGACCCTACCTGAGGCATGTCAGAATGGAGTGAGGACTCAATTTTTTTTTTTTTTTTTTTTTTTTTTTAGACAGAGTCTCACTCTATTGCCCAGGTTGATCTCAGTTCACTGCAATCTCTGCCTCCCGAGTTCAAGTGATTCTCTTACCTTAGCCTCCAGAGTAGCTGGGACTACGGGTACACACCACCACACCTGGCTAATTTTTGTATTTTTAGTAGAGATGGGGCCAGGCTGGTCTCGAACTTCTGACCTCAGGTGATCTACCTGTCTTGGCCTCCTAAAGTGCTGGGATTACAGGCGTGAGCTGTCACACCCGGCCAAGGGCTCAATTTATGTTTGGACATGTATCATAGATGAATGGGTGTATGTATGTATGTATGTATGGATGGATATTAGGTGGTGGGTAGGTGGATATATGGATAATGGGATGTGTGGGTGGATGGATGGGTGAGCTGATGGGTAGATGGGTGGATGCCTGGGTAGGGAGGTGGGTGAATGCACAGATAAACGGGTAGATGTGTGGGTGGTTGGTCAGTGTGGAGGTAGATGGATGAGTGGGTTGGTGAGTGGAGAGATGAATGGAATAAGTGGGTGAATGTGTGGTCAGATGGGTATTGAGTGGGTAGGTGGGTGGACTAGGTTTGGATGGATGGATTGTGGGTGGATGAGTAATTGAGTAATGGATGGATAAAGATATGGATGGGTAAGTGAATGGGTAGATGGATGGATAGATGGAGGAGAAGGACGGATGATGGATGGATGGACGGACAGATGGATGAATGAAACATCTTCCCATCAAGCCTCAGGGAACCCGCAGTACCGAGACCCAGGCTGACCCACTACTCTGGATGTGCCCATTCTCAGAGTCCTGAGGTCTAATGGAAGTTTGAGAATTGCACAATCCCTAGCCCTTAGACACTCACACCTCTCCTGCATCCAGCCTCTATAGATAATGCCATTCTCCTTCCAAGTTCAAACTCATCCCCACTGATCCTAGAAGACAAGAAAGGAGGGTAAGTGGGTCTTTCAGAGACACCCCCAGATGCCTCTAAGTCTCCCCCACCCCTTCCTACACCAGGGGATCCCTCTACCAAGATAGACTGAGTCATAAGAAGGTGCTGGCCCTTTAAGAAAAAGTGGAGCCTTCTGAGGTGTAAGGCTTGAAGTCTGGAAGAAATGAGGTTGCAAGGAAAAGGTGGGGGACCAGGAAATCTGTCTTGGCATCACCTGCTCTCCACTAGGCAAGTGACACACTGTATTCTGCTTGAATTGAATCTCAGGTGGGCATCTTTCAGAGGGCTGGTGCGCAGGAGCGGGGCCTAGCGAAGGCGGCGGGGCTTACCCGGAGGCCGGACGGCCACGTGTGGCTGCGTCTCGGTGTAGCCCCCGATGGGCTGGCCCTCTGGGCTGAAGGCTGCACCCTGCCCTGCGAAGGGGGTTCAGAGGTTCAGGCTGAGCTCCAAGAAGCCCTGGACCCAGCTTTGACGCCCTCCTAAGAACCCCAGGCTCTCCGTCCCCGCCTTCCCCCTGTACCTGTGCGGTTGGATTGATCGATCATCGGTTGCACGATGCGTCTCCGGGCGTTAATGAACCTGGGAAGCGGTCATGGAAACGGAGGGGAATGAAAAGAGGGAGTGGGAGAGAGGCCAAGACGAACGCAGAGCGGGCCGGGAGGACAGCGGCAGGGGAGGCAGGGCGGGGCGAGCAGGGGCAGTGGCTCCGCCGGGCTCGGGGTCTCCGTCAGCACCGCGGACAGCTCCCGGGCTCCCGCCCCGGGCCAGCTCGCGGGCCCTCCTGGGCCACTCACCAGTTGTTGACTTGCAGGATGGTGAGCCCCGTGTCCTGCGCCAGCTGCTTCTTCTGCTCTTCCGAGGGGTACGGGTGCTGCGGCCACCAGCAAGAGTCACTCTGCCTGCCTGGCCGGCCGCAGTCTGAACCCTAAGGTCTGGCCCACCGGGGCCCGGGGGATGGGGAGCCCAGGCAGACATGTGGGAGAGCCGGCGCGTATGAGCGTCTCTGCGCTCCCCAGGATGGAGGCCAAGGGAGCCCCAGGCTTGGGACAATTACATGCCTGCGAGCCCCCGCCTGTTCCAGCAATTAGAGGTTAATTGGCCAGATCCGATTAGAGAGACCGTATTGGGGGAGGGGGGCTCCTGTGACATGGAGGAGGGGGCTTCACTGGCGTGGGGGAGGGAAGCAAAGCCCAGCCCCTCCCCCTCTGAATCTGTCAGAGTCTCTGTGTGGCCCTCCCCCTATCCATTTATTTATTTATTTATTTGAGATGGAGTCTTGCTCTGTCGCCAGGCTGGAATGCAGTGGCAAGATCTCATCTCACTGCAACCTCCGCCTCCGGGGTTCAAGGGATTCCTCTGCCTCAGCCTCCCCAGTAGCTGGGACTACAGGTGCGCGCCACTATGCCCGGCTAATTTTTTGTATTTTAGTAGAGATGGGGTTTTACCATGTTGGCCAGGATGGTCTTGATCTCCTGACCTTGTGATCCACTCGCCTCGGCCTCCCAAAGTGTTGGGATTAGAGGCGTAAGCCACTGCGCCCAGTCCTCCCTATCCATTTCTTTTTCTTTCTTTTTTTTTTTTTTTTTTTGAGACGGAGTCTTGCTCTGTGGCCCAGGCTGGATGGAGTGCAGTGGTGCGATCTCGGCTCACTGCAAGCTCTGCTTCCCAGGTTCACGCCATTCTCCTGCCTCAGCCTCCCAAGTAACTGGGACTACAGGCGCCCGCCACCGCGCCTGGCTACATTTTTGCATTTTTAGTAGAGATGGGTTTCACCATGTTAACCAGGATAGTCTCCATCTTCTGACCTTGTGATCTGCCTACCTCGGCCTCCCAAAGTGCTGGGATTACAGGCATGAGCCACTGCGCCCGGCCCCTCCCTATCCATTTCTTTCTTTCTCTGTCTCTTTTTTTAAAAACAGGTTCTCCCTCTGTTACTCAGGCTGGAGTGCAGTAATGCCTTCATGGCTCACTGCAGCTTCAACCTCCCTGGCTCAAGCGATCCTCTAGCCTCAGCCTCCTGAGTAGCTGGGATCACAGGTGTGTGCCACCATGCCTGGCTAATTTTTTTTTTTTAGAGATGGGGTCTTGCTGTGTTGCCCAGGCTGGTCTCGAACTCCTGGGCTCAAGCGATCCTCCTGCCTTGGCCTCCTAAAGTGCTGGGATTACAGGCATGAGCCACTGTGTCTGGCCCTCCATTTCTCTGTCTGTGGCTCTCACATTCTCTCTCTGTCTCACTATCTCTGTGCGTGTCTCTGTATCTCTCTCTCTCTGGGATTCAGTCCCTCCCTGCCTCTGAGTTTCTGTCTCTGTCCCTCTATGACTCAGCCACTCCCTGTCCCCATCTTGCTCTGACTTGGTCTCTGTGTCTCTCTGTTTCAGCCTCTTCCTGGCTCTATTTTTCTCCTGTGTCCTTGAAGCAGTATGGTGCAGTGGTTAAGGCCAGACTGCCTGCATTTGAATCCACTTCTGGCTGTGTGACCTTAGGCTAGTCTCCTAACCTCCCTGTTCCTCAGTCTCCTCCTCATCTGCTAAATGGAGATAATAGTAGTCCCTCCCTCCGAGGGTATGCTGGGTGGATGGTGGGCGGGTGGGTGATTGATGCGTGGGTTAATGGATGGTTTGCGGGGAGGACTTAGTGAGTTAAGTGTCCTGAGCAGCACCTGCACATAGGTGACACTCACTGCTGCTGGATCCTGTCACAATTCTCCACTTCCAAGAGAGTCTCGAAAAATTTCCCGCCATCTCAGTCTCCCATTTCTGGGTGTCTCTGGGGTTTTGGTCTCTGTGGCCCACCCTTCTCCCTCTCTCCACGCCCACCCTGCACCCGGGCAGTAGGGCTCTCACCGAGAGGTGCTGGAACAACCAGGCTCGCATGATGTTGGTGGCCACTTTGGGGAAGATCCCCCTCTTCTTATTTCGCCGTCGCTCCTGGTCCAAGTCCTCATCTTCCCCACCAGAACTGGGAGAGGCCACGCTGGTGTCCAGCCCATCTCCTGAGGGAGGGCAGGCATGCTGTGTGTGTGGGCAGTGAAGAGTGGAGGACCAGAGGGCCCTAGGACTCTCCCCCAAGACACCACTCCACACCCCAGCCATCTCTGCCCTTCCGCAAGTCCTACTTGCAATCTAACTTCAATCCTCTGGCTGACTTCCATGTTTCCTTTCCACCTCCCAAGATTCTCACCTTGGTCACTGGAGTTGTCACCACTCTGGGAGGCCAGGCCCCCGCTGGATGGACCTGGGGTCCCCAAATGCACAGACCCACTATCCTCATGGTCTCGAATCCATATATTATTCTAGAAAACAAGAGTTAGCAGTTAGTGCCAAGGCGGCCGGGTACGGTGGCTCACGCCTGTAATCCCAGCAGTTTAGGAGGCCAAGGCGGGTGGATCACGAGGTCAAGAGATCAAGACCATCCTGGCTAACATGGTGAAACTCCGTCTCTACTAAAAAATACAAAATATTAGCTGGGTGTGGTGGCACGTACCTGTAGTCCCAGCTACTCAGGAGGCTGAGGCAGGAGAATCGCTTGAACCCAGGAGGCAGAGGCTGCAGTGAGCCAAGATTGTGCCACTGCACTCCAGCCTGGGTGACAGAGCAAGACTCCATGTCAAAAAAAAAAAGTTAGTGCTAAGGCTTAGGGCATGGACTCTGGAGCTAGGACTCCTGAATGGGAAGCCAGTCCCTGCCTCCCTCCTGGCTGTGTGATCTTGGGCAGGTCACTTCCCCTCTCTGAGCCTCCATTTCCTTAATTGGAAAATGAAGGACAGGACCAGGCACGGTGGCTCACGCTTGTAATGCCAGCACTTCTGGAGGCTGAGGCAGGCAGATCACCTGAGGTTGAGCATTTGAGACCAGCCTGGCCAACATGGTGAAACCCCATCTCTACTAAAAATACAAAAACTAGGCCGGCTTGGGTACGGTGGCTCACGCCTGTAATCCCAGAACTTTGGGAGGCCGAGGCAGGTGGATCACCTGAGGTCAGGAGTTGAAGACCAGCCTGGCCAACATGGTGAAACTTCGTCTCTACTAAAAATACAAAATCAGCCGGGCATGATGGTGGGTGTCTGTAATCCCAGCTACTCGGGAGGCTGAGGCGGGAGAATCGCTTGAACCCGGGAGGCAGAAGTTGCAGTGAGCAAAGATCGCGCCACTGCACTCCAGCCTGGATTGGGTGACAAAGTGAGACTACGTCTCAAAAAAATAATAATAAATAAATAAATAAAGCAAGAGGAAAAGAAAACGAAGGATAATAATAGTCATGACGGAGTGTGACCAGTATTCAGTGATGAGTTCATCTACATAGAGGCTCGAACAAGATGACCTTACACAGGTCTATGGCATCTTATCTAAAATCCTTGGGGCCAGAGGTGTCTCAGGATTCAGAACATTTCACATTTTTAACTTTATTTTGAGTCAGTGTCTCCTTCTGTCGCCCAGGCTGGAGTGTAGTTGCATGATCTAGGCTCACTGCAGCATTTGCCTCCTGGGTTCAAGCGATTCTCGTGCCTCAGTCTCCCAAGTAGCTGGGATTAGAGATGCCTGCCACTATGCCTGGCTAATTTTTGTATTTTTAGTAAAGACGGGGTTTCACCATGTTGGTCGGACTGATCTCGAACTCCTGGGCTCAAGTGATCCGCCCACCTCTGCCTCCCAAAGTCTTGGATAACAGGTGTGAGCCACTGCGCCGGGCCCATTTCACATTTTTAGGCAGTAAATCAGCGCATGCACCATGCAGTTCGCAGCCGTCCCAGGCAGGCTCTGGGGCACAACCTCGTCATCAAACTCATTAACATTTCCACAGCAACATGGATGAATATTTAACTAAGTAGAATAAAGGCTATAAATAGCCCCTCATTAGTTCGGGTCCGTTTTTGCTGCCAAATGAGTTTGCACTAAATTTATGGGACAAAATCCAAAACTTTGAAGTTTCAGAGATTGTAGCCAAGGGGTCTCAGAATTGTAGGTAAGGGGGTCTCGGGCTGTATTATGTATTATCTTTTTCTTTTTCTTTTTTTTTTTTGAGACGGAGTCTTGCCCTGTCACCCAGGCTGGAGTGCAATGGCATGATCTCGGCTCACTGAAACCCGCACCTCCTGGGTTCAGGCGATCCTCCCACCTCAGCCTCCTGAGTAGCTGGGATTACAGGCGCGTGCCACCATGTCTGGCTAATTTTTTGTATCTCTAGTAGAGATGGGGTTTCACCATGCTGGCCACGCTGGTCTCAAACTACTGACCTAGTGATCCACTCGCCTCAGCCTCCCAAAATGCTGGAATTACAGGCGTGAGCCACTGTGCCCAGCCTTCTCTTTTTTTTTTTTTTTTTTTTTAAGAGACAGAGTCTTGCTCTGTCACCTAGGCTGGAGTGCAGTGGTGCAATCTTAGCTCTCTGCAGCTTCAAATTCCTGGGCTCAAGCAATCCTCTCGCCTCAGCCTCCCAAGTAGCTGGAACTACAGTTGCGCCTGGCTAATTTTTCTTATTTTTTGTGGAGATGGGATTTCACGATGTTGTCCAGATTGCTCTCGAACTCCTGGGCTTAAGCGATCTTCCTGCCTCGACTTCCCGAAGTGCTGAGATTACAGGCGTGAAGCCACTGCAGCCAGCCTCGTCGTTTCTTTATGCAAACTCCAACACGCTTTGAGGAACTGACAATCGGCAGGATTTACCCTCCACCCAGCTCCGTGCGCCAGGAGGTCAGCTCACCCATATGGACTGCAGTAACACTTCTTCTTCAGTTTAAGGTTGGGTTAAATCTGCCCAACCTGTGGTTTTAGATTAGCTGTATTCTTCTACCAAAAATCTCAGCCGCTGTCAAGCAATCTGCTCCTCTCTCCGGTTCTGGTGACCACACCCCCTCCCACCCTTTTTTTTTTTTGAGACAGAGTGTCACTCTGTTGCCCAGGCTGGAGGGCAGTGGTGAGATCTCGACTCACTGCAACTTCCGCCTCCTGGGTTCAAGTGATTCTCCTGCCTCAGCCTCCCAGGTAGCTGGGATTACAGGCACACGCCACAACATCCAGCTAATTTGTTGTTGGGTTTTCTTTTTTTTTTTTTTGAGACAGAGTCGTGTTCTGTTGCCCAGGTTACAGTGCAGTGGCGTGATCTCGGCTCACTGCAAGCTCTGCCGCCTCCTGGGTTCACACCATTCTCCCGCCTCAGCCTCCCAAGAAGCTGGGACTACAGGTGCCCGCCACCACATCCGGCTAATTTTTTTGTATTTTTAGTAGAGATGGGGTTTCACTGTGTTCACCAGGATGGTCTCGATCTCCTGACCTCGTGATCTGCCTGCCTCGGCTTCCCAAAGTGCTGGGATTACAGGTGTGAGCCACCGCGCCCGGCCATTGTTGGGTTTTTTTTGTTGTTGTTCGTTTGTTTTTTTGAGACAGAGTCTTGCCCTGTCACTCAGGCTGAAGTGCAATAGCGCGATCTCGGCTCATTGCAACTTTCGCCTCCCGGGTGCAAGCGATTCTCCTGCCTCAGCCTCCCGAGTAGCTGGGATTATAGGCACGTGCCACCACGCCCGGCTAATTTTTTTTTGGTATGTTTAGTAGAGACAGGGTTTCACCATGTTGGCCTGGTTGGTCTCAAACTCCTGACCTCGTGATCTGCCCGCCTCAGCCTCCCAAAGTGCTGGGATTACAGGAGTGAGTCACTGCGCCCAGCCATCATCAGGCTACATTTTTCTTTCTGTGACTGCAGTTTGAAGGTTTGGTTGTCTTGTATGTGACACTGCTGTCGCGATTCCTGTGCGAGTGGGTATAAGGCTCCAGGACTTGGCCAGGCACGGTGGCTCACGCCTGTAATCCCAGCACTTTGGAAGACTGAGGTGGGATGATCACTTGAGGTCAGGAGTTCGAGGCCAGCCTGGCCAACATGGTGAAAACCCATCTCTACTGAACATACAAAAGTTAGCTGGGCGTGGTGGCAGGCACCTGTAGTCCCAGCTACTCGGGAGGCTGAGGCAGGGGAATCGCTTCAACCTGGAGGCAGAGGCTGCAGTGAACTGAGATTGTACCACTGCACTCCAGTCTGAGTGACAAACTGAGACTCCATAAAAAAAAAAAAAAAAGGCTCCGGGACTGTGTCTGGGTGTGTCTGGCTGTGGGGTGGTCGTCCTGTGAGTGTATCTGAGGGGGTGTGGAGTGGGTGTGCGTGTGCTGTGAAGATGTCATTGCCAGGTGTGTTGACAGTAGGATTGCCTGGGTGTGGCTCTCATGTGACTTTTCCTCGAGGCTTCGCCCCGCTACTCTGTATGTAGCCGTGGCGAGTCGGGATCCACACGGCTGTGCTGTGCGTGTTTGCCGTCTGGTGTCCTAAGTGGATAAAACTGTAGTGAGGCTGCGTCTGAGATGGTGCCACCTTATTGAGTTGCTTCTTTGGGTTTCTTTGTGGCCCCACCTGAGCCTGTTGAGTCTATTTCCAAGTCTGTGTGGATGAATCTGGGGCCGTGTGGCTGTGAGTGGTGTGTGTGTGCGATCTCGGCTGCAGCCCGACTGTTACGTGACCAGGGTCACGTGTGTGCAAGAGGGCGCCGTGGTCAGTCCGGGCCCAAGCGTGGTTATATCTGAGTTTGCCAGGCAGTACCTCGGGCTGTTGGGCTCTATGTCCATCTGTGTGGCTGTTTCGTGTGACTGGAGTGGGGGTGCATATGTGGTGGACACACACACAATCGAGAATGGCGTCCAGAACCCGGCTGTGTGTTCTGTGCTGCTGTCGTATGGCTGGGGGGGTGTGTGTGAGTACACGGTGGATGCTACTGTCCAGCTGTGAGCAGAAATGGCTGTTGCTGAGTTGGTGTGGCTGTGTGTGGACCTGTGTGGGTGTAGCCGAGTCTGTGGGTGGTATCTGCAGCTGCTGGTGTGCACATGTGTGCGCACCGCCGCCCAGCCGCATCCGAGTCTGCACAGCTGTGGTGTAGTGGGTACGTGGCTGTGTGCATATGCGTGCCCCGCGATCAGGCTGACTGTGGCTGCATCTGAGGCTGTGTAGTGTGCATATGCCCTCATGCAGTGTCCAGGCACAGCTGTGGCTGCAGGGCGATATGCCTGGTGCCCGTCCCAGGCCCACCTGGTCTGGGAGGCTGGGGCAGGAGGCTGGGTAGTCCTCGAAGTCCTCCCTGCAACCGCCGTCCCGATCCTCGATGACCAGGTCGATGGGCATCTTTCCCTTGAGGCAGGTGATGTAGCGGTGACAGAAGTTGTCGCACAGGTCGTGGACCTGGGGGGGCACCGGGGTACTGGGGGGGCCACCCGGGGGGGGCAGGGCTGGGGTGTACAGGGACAGGGGCGGCATTCTGCTTCAACTCCAGTGGGGAGAGAGCTGGAAGGTGGCAGGCAGAGGCGACGAGAGGGGGTGGGATGAGGTGGGCAAGTGAGGCTGTTGGGGGGTGAGACGCACTCACCTTCTCCAGCTCCAGCAGGTGGAACCGCAGCACTTGGATGGCCTGGATCATCTGAAAACTCGGGATAGGAGGTCGGGGAAGACAGAGGGAATCGGGGGAGGGAGAAGGGAGGAAGAAGGAAGAGGAAGAGAAAGAGGAAGAGAGGAGAGACAGAGAAACAGAAAGAGTGAGATAAAATGACAGGGACAGGGCGACAAAGACACCAGGCGCAGAGAGGAAAGAGAGAACAGAGATGCCGTGCAGAATTAAGGAAACAGTGGGTGTTAGATTCAGAGGTAGAGACAATGGTAGCAAGAGATGAAAAAGGGCCCATCACAAAGTGGGAGAGCTAAGGTGAGCCGTTCAGACTGGCATTCCCACCCGCTGCCTGTTGGCCCCCAGCTCCAGGCCCCGCCCACCTGCAAACTACATTTCCCAGAGCCCTTTGATAAAGGGTTTGGCCAATAGGAAGCCCTGGCAAGAGCTTGGGGAGTAAAGGATGGGAGAAGCTGGAGTATTTCTCCCTCCTTTCTTCTCTATCTTCTTTTTTCTCTTTCTTTTTTGATATGGAGTCTTGCTCTGTCATCCAGGCTAGAATGCAGTGGAGCGATCTCAGCTCACTGCAACCTCCGCCTCCCAGGTTCAAGTGATTCTCCTGCCTCAGCCTCCCGAGCAGCTGGGACTACAGGCATGCACCACTGTGCCCAGCTAATTTTTGTATTTTTAGTAGAGACAGAGTTTCACCATGTTGGCCAGGCTGGTCTCAAACTCCCGACCTCAGGTGATCCACTTGCCTCGGCCTCCCAAAGTGCTGGGATTACAGGCATGAGCCACCGTGCCCGGCCTCTTCTCTTTTTTTTCTTTTCTTTTTTCTTTTCTTCCTTTCTTTCTTTATTTTTCTTTTTTTGTTTGTTTGACACAGAGTCTTGCCCTATTGCCCAGGCTGCAGTACAGTGGCAGGATCTTGGCTCACTGCAACCTCTGCCTCCCGGGTTCAAGCGATTCTCCTGCCTCAGCCTCCCGAGTAGTTGGGACTACAGGCGAGTGCACCACGCCCAGCTAATTTTTTTATTTTTAGTAGACAGGGGGTTTCACCAGGTTGGTCAGGCTGGTCTCGAACTCCTGACCTTGTGATCTGCCGGCCTCGGCCTCCCAAAGTGCTAGGATTACAAGCATGAGCCACTGCACCCAGCCCTTCCTCTCTCCCTCCTTCCCTCTCTCCCTCCCTCCCTCTCTCCTTCCCTCCCTCCCTTTGTTTTTCTTTCTCTTCTTTCTTTTCTTTTTTTTTTTGAGACAGTCTCGCTCTGTCGCCCAGGCTGGAGTACAGTGGCGCGATCTCGGTTCACTGTAAGCTCCGCCTCCCAGGTTCACACCATTCTCCCGCCTCAACCTCCAGAGTAGCTGGGACTACAGGTGCCCACCACCACGCCCAGATAATTTTTTGGTATTTTTAGTAGAGACGGGGTTTCACCGTGTTAACCAGGATGGTCTCGATCTCCTGATCTCGTGATCTGTCCATCTCAGCCTCCCAAAGTGCTGGGATTACAGGTGTGAGCCACAGCGACTGGCCTCTTTCTCTTTTTCTAGCTATCTATGAGAGACAGGGTCTTGCCCTGTTGCCCAGGCTGGTGTGCAGTGGAGCTGATCAAGGGTTACTGCAGCCTCGACTTCTTGGGGCTCAAGTGATCCTCCTGCCTCAGCCTCCCAAGTAGCTGGGACCACAGGTGTGTGCCACCACACCCTGCTAATTAAATGTTTTTGTAGAGATGGGGTGTCACTACATTGCCCAGGCTGGTCTTAATCCCTGGCCTCAAGCTATCTCCTGGCCTTGGTCTCCCAAAGTGCTGGGATTACAGGTGTGAGCTGCCGCACCCAGCCTCCTCTCCTTGGGAAGCAGTCCCTGCGCTCACTTTGGCATGGGTACTATTCTTCTGACGGACAGAACATCAGACACTTTTTCAGCCCTATGCCGTGCCAGGTGCTGTCCCATGCACTTGACTTGCATTCACTCATTAAATCCCCACAGCAGCCCTCCAAGACAGAAATTACTACCAGCCACACGTCACAGACGGGACGCCAGGCACGGAGACACAGAGAGACTTGCCCTGGGTCACAGAGCTGGTGAGTGGCAGAGCTGGGATTTGAACTCGGGCCATGGGTCCCGTTCTCAGACTCTAGGCTGTACCACATGGCATGTGGGCAACAATCATGGCCATTTGGGAACATGGACCAGGTGGCCTCCTCTCTGCACCCCCTCAACCAACCCCAGGGATGGGGAGTCAGGACAGGAGATCCATCGTAGGAGGGAGTGTGGGGGAGAGCTTGGGTCTCACCAGATTGTCCAGTTCTGGGTTGGAGGAGAAGAGGGGCCTCTCAGAGCGAACCTGGGAGGGAAGAGAGAAGCCGGCAGGGGATGTCCCACCTTCCACCCAACCCTCCTCGCTGGCTCTCCGGTGCGGTGCTTGGCGGGTGGGGGGTGCCCACCTGCTTGGCGAAGGCAGCGATGTCCTCATTGAAGGAATCAGAGGAGCAGACGTCGCCGCCGGGGGGTGTCCCCAGCCCAGCTCCAGCCCCGTCACGGGGAGAGCATGTAGCCAGTTCACATTTCTCAAAGACCAGGGCCAAGAGGGGGAAGAGCGGGTGTCTGGGGAGGCAGGAAAGGAGAGAGGTCGAGGGAGAGGCTGGGGGGTGAATGGAGGGGCTGCAAGGTGCAGAACAGCTGGGAAGGGGACAAGAGACCCGGAGAGGAGACAGTGACTCATACACAAAGATGGAAACAGACCCAGGGAGCAAAGAAACAGAAGACAGAGAGAGAGACAGGAGCCTGAGACCGGCCCCCACTCACCCATAGATCTCATCCTTCTCCCTCTTCAGGCCGTCACTGTCCAAGCCTGGGGGCAGCAGCTGGGGAGGCCGCTGTGGGCCGTAGGGCCCTGGTGCCGCGGGCACTGCCTCTGGGAAGCCAGCCAGGGCTGCGGGGCCATCCGCGATGCCTGGGTAGTGCGGCAGCTCATCGTACTGGGCAAAGGTGAGAAGAGAAGGGGGAGTCCCAGGGAGGGGTCAGCACCCCGAAACTCGGCTGAGGAGCTTCTCTATCCTGGAACCCAGGAGATGCCTCTCTGTGTCCCAGAAACCCGCTTCTGGTCCCCAAGTGTCTGAGCCCTGCCCCTTTGAGCCCTCCAGGTCCCCTGGAGCTGTCTGGGTGGGAGTGAGGACCCCGTCCAGGCAGAGATTCCTGACATGCGGGCAGGAGGACCCAGAGGGAGAGATGGCAGGGTCTGGCTGGGAGGGAAGAGAGATGGAGAGAGTGGCGTGAGAAGACAGAGATGGAGACAGAGACGGAGACAGAGATGGAAACAGAGACAGAGACAGAGAGAGACAGACAGAGAGGGAAATCCATGGACACCTCCTGCAGGAACCGCGCATTGTTGTACACAAAGTACACATACGAAGCCTGCCCGTCTTCTATGTCATTTCACAGTTGGTAGATATGCACATCAGAGTAAAGTCTCAACAACATGTCACACCCCACTCGCCACGTGAATCCACCACACACGGAGACACAGCCATACACACCAACCCACGTGCACGCTCGTGTGTCAGTCACACCCAAATCCCCCCCATACACGCACACATGCACACACACACACACAGCCTAACACCAGGCACAGGAATGAATGCATGATTGAGACATTTAGCACATGAACGAATGAATGAATGAATGAAGGAGGCATTTAGCACAGGGCCTGGCTCACGCTGTCAGCACTTGTTGCTGGAGAGGGTCACTAGGCACCACCACAGAGACACCCTTTCGCACCCAAGAAAAACACCATTATGGGGTGGGACGCCCGCATCCCGTCATCACAGAACCATGCACCTGGGAAGCCTGGGGCACCTTTCACTAGGTCAGGTCAAATCCCTTCCTCAGTGATGAAGACATGGAGGCTCAAAGAGGCAGCAGGACTCCCCTGGGAAGAGGCTAGAACGTTCCTGCCTCCGGCCCTCGCCCGGCTGGGCACCCTGGCTCTGCGTGTCCCACTCTCTCCCTCTTCCTCTTCTCCTAACTTCTCCTGTGCCCTGAAGTTGAATCCAACTGCTCCCCGCTGCTCATGGCACACTCACCAAACTCGGTCCCCACAGCCCGCCCAGAACCCCCAAAGCAAGGGCGCACCTCCTCCCCCGTCTCCTATGCCCGTTCCCATCCCCAAGGAGAGAGGCTCCCTGGGGCCAGCAGCCTGGTGAGACCGCCCCTCCCACCCCTGTCCCACTCCTAGCCCTGGAGAGGCAGGGGAGGCTTGGAACAAAAGTAGAGCGAAGAGAAGGACGGAGGGCAGAAAAGGAGGGGGACGGTGAGGTGGGGGCGGCTGAGATGGAGGAGGAAGCCCAGGGACAGAGAGCAGAGAGACTCGGGGGCAGAGAGAGGGGGACAGAGAGGCAGAAAGAGGGGGGAGACCCGGGGCAGAGAGAGGGGGACAGAGAGGCAGAAAGGAGGGGGAGACTGGGGCAGACAGAGGGGGACAGAGAGGTAGGGAGAGACTGAGGCAGGGAGAAGAAGCTAAACGGTGGGGAGGCGGCGAGGCCCAGGGGCAGGGAGAGGGGACACCTGGGGGCAGAGAGGGAGCACAGAGGGACTGGGAGACCCAGGGGCGGAGGGAGGGGCAGAGAGAGAGGTGGTGGAGAGGACGGATGGGCTGATGCGGGGCCAGCGCCGGAGAGGAGGGATGCAGGGACAGGGGGTGCGGAAGCGGCCGGGCCGCGGGGTCCCCGCCCTGAGACCTACCCTCCGGGCCATGGGCTGAGGCCGGCGGCAGCTCCCGGGTCCCTCCAGAGCCTGGCCGCGGGGGAGGGCGCAGCCCGGGGCCGCAGCCCCAGACGGCCCGCAGTGTCGACGCCAGGGGGTGGGCAGGAGGCCGGGCGCGCGCCCCCCCACCCCCGCCGCCGTCAGCGGCAGGCGCCGGGCCGGGTCGGGGCTCCGCGCATGGACCCCGGTCCCCGCCCCCAGCGGGGGTCACGGCCAGGAGCGCATCGCCGCTGGGGCGGGGGCAGCAGGCGCGGGCGGGGCGCCCGAGGCCCCCTCCCCTGGGCCCCCCCGTCCCTCCCCGGGCTCCGGAGGGAATCGAACTGTCCCAAGACGGACAGACCGGGGACCGCGAGGGGCTGGGGGCAGCCCGGGGCGGCGGGGGCTCCGGCGGCGGCTCGGGGGTGCTGGCGGCCGCGCTCCCCGTTCCCGGTCTCTCCCTCTCTGTGGTCACATCCGGAAGTTCCACGGCGGAGATGCTTAACCCACTGTCCGCCGGCGCGGCCGGGCGGGGCGGGGCGGGGCTGGGGCTGCGGGTCCCTCCCTCCCCCTCCCCCTCCCCCTCCCCCCTCCCGTCCCCCCCTCCCCTCGTTCCCGGTCTCTCCTCTCTGTGGTCACATCCGGAAGTTCCACGGCGGAGATGCTTAACCCATCGTCCGCCGGCGCGCTGGGCGGGCGGGCGGGCTGGGGCTGCGGTCCCTCCCTCCCCTCCCCTCCCTCCTCCCCCGCCCGTCCCCTCCCTCCCCACCTGGGCGCCCCGCTCCGCCTGGCCCGGGCAATTCCTCCTCCCGGCGGCTTTTGTATCGAGCGCCCCGGGACGCGTCCTCCTCGGCCCCCGCCCCTCCCGCCGCGCTCGCTCCGGGTCGCTCTCCCCCCACCCCGCCCCGGGTCTCCCTCTCCCCTTGCGGGCAGCCACCCGCCTCTGTCTCGAGTTCTCCCCCACCTCTGTCTCTGTCTCTCTCCCCCCTCTCCTCTCTGTCCTCTCCTCTCTCTCTCTCTCCCTCCGCCCTGTCTCTTTTCTCTCTCATTTTCTCTGTTTTTTCTGTTTCTCCTCCCACCTCTTCCCGCCTCTCTCCCCCTCTGTTTCTGTCTCTCCCTCAACCCCCAACCCCCCTCCGCCCCCCTTTCTCCCCGCTCCCCTCTCTCTCCTCTCTCTCTCCCCCCACCTCTCTCTCCCCCTCTGTTTCTCTCTCTTCCCGCTTACCTCTCTCTCCTCTGTCTCTCCCCCCCCACCTCTCTCTCTCCGTTTCTCTCTCTTCGCTGTCTCTCTCCCCTCCACCTCCCATTTTCTCTGTTTCTCTCCCCCTCACCTCTCTCCCTCTGTCTCTCTCCTCCCCCTCACCCCTCCCCCTCCCCTCTCTCTGTTTCTCTCAGTGTTTTTTTCTGTTTCTCCCTCCTCCCACCTCTACCCCCCTCCCCGTCTCTGTTTGTGTGTCTGTCCCTCTCCTCCATCTCTCTCTCCGTTTCTGTCTCCCTCCTTACCTATCTCCCTCACCTCTCTCTCCCTCTGTTTCTCTACCCCCCACTCCCACTCGCTCTGTTTCTCTCCCCCTCACCTCTCTCTCTGTTTCTCTCTTTCTCCCTTTCCCCACCTCTCTCCTATGGGACGGAATCAGAGGAGAGGACAGGAGGCCGGAAGGAAGCCAGCGCTTAGATTTTAGTTTCTCTTCTTGCCCTCACCCCTTTCCCTCCCTCCTCTAGGAGACAGGGGCCCCTGTGCCTGCGCCTTTATGTGTGTGTGTGTGTGTGTGTGTGTGTGTCGGGTGTATGTGTTGTGTGCTTGCATGTGTGTGTGCATTGTGTGTGGTGTGTATGTGCCTGTGTGTGGTGTGTTTTGTGTTTGTGTTTTGTGTGTGTGGTATGTGTGTCTGTGTGTGGTGTGTGATGTGCATGTGTGGTGTGCTTGTGTGGTGTGTGCGTGTGTGTGGTGTGTATGTGGTGTGTGCATGTGTGTGTGTGGTGTATTTTGTATGTGTGGTGTGCTTTGTGTGTGGTGTGTGCATGTGTGTGGTGTGTGTATGTTTTGGGTGGTGTGTGTGGTGTGTGCATGTGTGGTGTGTGTGCGTACTCGCGTTGTGTGTATCTGTGTGTATGCATACCTGTGTTGTGTGTGTGAGTACCTGTGTGTGCGTGTAGTGTGTGTTTTTTGTGTATGGTGTGTGTTTTGCATGTGTGTGGTGTGTGTGTTTGGTGTGTGTGGTGTGTGGGGTGTGTGTGCGCGCGTACCTGTGTGGTGTGCGTGTGGTGTGTTTTTTGTGTGTGGGGTGTGTGTGTGTGTGTGTACCTGTGTGGCGTGCGTGTGGTGTGTTTTTTGTGTGTGGGGTGTGTGTGTGTACCTGTGTGGTGTGCGTGTGGTGTGTTTTTTGTGTGTGTGTACCTGTGTGGTGTGTGTGTTTCATGTGTGTGGTGTGTAGGAGTGACTATGCGTGTTGTTTCTGTCTCTGGATGTGGTGGGTACTGGAGGCCCCTCTGCCGTCTTGGGCCCCTGTCTTGAGCCTGCAGCCCTCTCAGCTGCTCTCAGGGAGTCGCTGGAACCTGCAGTCTGTGGGGTAAACCCTGGGCCCCCACACAAGGTGTTGGAGGGCAAGTCCGCGGCTTTCATCGGATTCCTAAGGCGAGCTTTCAACCTGAGGTTCTGAGATCAAGAAAAAGATTCATGCAGCAGCAACTTCTTGAGCACCTACTACTTGCCAGGTGGTGTTCGGGGGACATAGCAGGGAACAAAAGGCAAACTTCTTAGTCTTATGGCACTCACTTTTCCCTGGGGATGGGTAGGGAAGGGAGGGTAGTCGAGTAAATGGATGCATAAATATTAACTACTGCCTGGAGATGGCCAGTGCTCTGAAACAAAGCTGTGTAAGAACGGCGTGGGGAGGGCGGCTTCTGTAGGCTGGACAGACAGGGACAGCCCTCAGAGGAGGGGACATCTGAGCTGTGCACACACCTGGGGAGAGCATTCCAGGCAGGGGGAATTGCAGGTGCAAAGCCTGGAAAAGTCGGGGGAGCAGAAGGTGCTCGGTGTGTCCAGGAAACATCTAAGAGGCTATTGAGGGAGGGGGCGAGGGGGCTGGTGGCGACCCTGGATTCATTCTCCCCATGGCATCTTTTACATTGGGGGTCTTTAGTCCCTGGTGTCTTCAGCTTCCCGCGGGGGTGTGCAGGTGGCTGTCAGGAGACCTGTGAACCCAGGGGAAAGTTCCCTGGGAAATTGTGGACTGGGTGCCTCTGTGTTTTTCCCCCAGGGAAGTGGCCCATAGTTTTTATCCCATTCTCACAGAAGGACACTTGACCCCCCACAAAATCCTGAAAGTCACCCCAGAGGAATAGCGCCAAAGAATGGAACAGAGATCCAGAGAGAAGGGGACAGGGACGCGGAGGACAAGGACCCTGATGGGGGTGGGGGTACAGAGATGTAGAGACAGAGGGGGACAGATCCA